CTATGTTAGTTTGCCGGAGGGCAAACATCTTCTGCGAATCAAACATCGCAATGGATAATCACAATTGATAGATGATGTTCCCGCTACATAATTAAATGTTTATTGATGGGCACAGTATTTCCCATTGCCATGTCATGTTTGGTTACTGCAGAGTAAATTAAATACGACATATTTATTGGATACGACCCTGGGATAAAAATGACATCAGGCATTGACAGAATACAACCAAAGAACACGTCATCAATACTCATGAACGGCATTGTTTTCTGGGTTTCTTCTGGCTATGTGTCGAAGTGGTAGGCCGCCAAAAAGTTAAATCCAAACATATTCCCTGCTGAACTTGGGGTCACGAGGCCGCTTTTTTTGTACCCAGCTGCTTCTGGCGGAAATATCATAACTCACTCGCCTGAAAACATCTATTATCATACGGCCATGATTTGGGATATTCCTAAAACTAACCATCATCTCGTGGTGACATTGAATTTGAGATCCTTATAATTCAGCCAGATCATGCCAGATCGATCTTCCATTACGTATCACCATTGCATTCCCCTTTTATACCACCATGTTTCCCTTTTTTATGATTATTCCCATTTTATACCACATTTTTCCATTTTTCATGAGGAAATCCAAGTCATGGTCCCCTCCTGATGGCCAAGAGGTCGGCATAGCGATCAATCAATTCCTTCTTCAGGATGGCCAAGTCAACCAATTTCTCCACCTGGTGGGGCCAAGGGGGTCACCCTGCGTCATAGAAAAGTCTGCAGGCGGGAAATATATGGAAATAATTATGAGGTAATTTAGGGTAAATACAGGGGAAATATGGGTAAACACCATATATACCATATATATATATACCATTATATACCCTTTTTGGGGTTTACTCTGTAGTTCATGGCGCTTAAAAACTCATAAACCTACTGTAACTTGGGGACCTTGTGAAAGCAGCGTTGTTGGATGTTTGCATTTTCCTTGCCGTTTCAAAACAGGCTGCATCTTGCCCAGGCTGAAAATCTGACCATATACAGATACATGTGTTTTCCGTTCCAATCATCGTAGTAGTCTCCCAATGCAATCCTGGTCCAAGTTCCTCTTTGAATGGCAAGCCCAATGCAAAACCTCCAATTGGGAGTGGTTTATTTTGTACATCACCCGTTTCTGGCAGAATTGGTTACTTACGGCTTTGGGTTTACCACGCTGTTTGGGGGGCTTGTGTCCCCAACATCAGGCAACCCATAGCTTTCTTCCGGCCTGGCCAACGATCAGCTGCCAAATGTCATAAATGCTGGCAGAGGTCGGCCAAAAAATGTCAACAATCGTGGTCAAGATTCCACCAGCAAAAGGAATTGTACCTCAGCGGGAATGAGTGGCAGCTGCAGGTGTATAGCCTGCTTCAACTCGCCTGAAGAAAAATCCCAACCCTTCCCAGGAAAAAAGAAGGCACAAATGCTGCGTGCATACAAGATTATACAAATATATATATATATATTATATAATATATATATATATATTACAATATGTATACAACATGGACTGCTCATTCGACCAAAGGTGCTTAAGAACTTCTTGGAGACTTTCTTGGCCGCAGATTTCCCCGCCAATTCGGCTGCGTTCTCTCCCACCTGCTGCAGACGATCGGTCCATGACTTTGTTCCAATGGTCAGTCCGTCGCTCTCAATGACCTCGTACTCAGCTTCCAATTCTCCTGCAGCGCCCCGCTGGAGGGTACATTTGGGGCATGGCTGGGCGCCTTACAATGTCGGCGCCTTAAAGGAAACGACCGGCTTAAGACTCATACAGCCCATCGAAAATGTCCATGTTTATCTTGGCTTATGTTAGTTTATATATATATATATATGTGTGTGTGTGTGTTATATCAATTTTAAAGATCTTGTGTTTTTGCAAGATCCCATCTCCCCACATGGTCAAATTGGGTTCCCATCAAGTATACATCTGGATGTAACGGCGCCTGTAACCAGCTCCATGGCCTCGTTCACATCCTCCGCAATGGCCCAGTTGGAAAGACCCACGAGTTCTGATTCGATGTACTGCACTTTCTGGTCATCTGAGGCTGAGCACGTCTCCACCTGAAATCCATCTGCTAACATGTGGAACATCTTCTGGATTCGACAATAAGAAGTTGGCCATCCTAGAAAAACAGCAATCAGAGGGATTTTTATGGATATTCCCAAATCATCCCAAATGAAAGAACACATATTGAAGGTACCAACCCGCTCAGCATTCAGTTCCGTATTCCCCGCCTTCTCATGCTGCTTTTTCGCAGGCCTGGAGATTTGGAGAAGCCCCAGCTGGTCAGTGCCATTACACATCTGCGGAGCAGCCCCACATGGAAGCAACGTTGACAGAATCCAACATGTCAAGACCAAAGTCCACATTGGGCGCGTTGGAAGATTTCAGGGCCCTCGCTCTGGCAAGACTAAACGCTTGTAATGGGAACTATAAAAGTCTGCGGAGGCGTTGAAAAGCCCAGGAGGCTCACTTGCAGTTGGGCAAACCTGCAGAATTTCTGCCAAATGGGCACTCTCGTTAAACAGTAGATTTGGGATGAAAAAATGTGGCAGCTCAGCCCACAGTGTAGGGCAAAAAACATGTCAAAACGTGTCAAAACCAAAGCTACGACTGGGACGAATCGCTGGCAGCTTTTAGCTGCCACAAATTTTCCAGCTGGCCGTCCCCTAACTGAGGCGGCTACTTGCTATGCGGCCGTATCGAGGAGTTGCCACCCTCAGAGATGATCGGGGTTCGAATTTGGCGCAGCCAGCCTCTCAAAATAATACCATGTGGAACAATGTTTAATACTAGTAGGGAGAGGGAATTGCATTTTTCTCGAATCAGAATCTGATGGAATGTGATATGCATATGTTCCATTCTTTCAAAAATAAATGGTGTCACACAAAGAATTGCCAACATCTGCGCTCCTCGCCCCACGCCTATATTTCACTAATGTTCCATTGGGTTCTTGGCAAGTTCAACTCCCAAGAAAAAACAAACTTGAGAGGGGGGGGACGAAAGGTAGGGGGGGGAAAGGCAGGAGGGAGAGGCAAGAGAAGGTGCGACTGTTTGTAACGCAAGCACGCCGACGACGACGACGACGATGACGACGACGACGACAACTACTTCTACTTCTACTTCTACTTCTACTACTACTACTACTACCACTACTACTACTACTACTACTACTACTACTACTATGAGGACTACTACTACTACTACTACTACTACTACTACTACTACTACTACTACTATGAGGACTACTACTACTACTATGAGGACTACTACTACTACTATGAGGACTACTACACTACGACGACGACTACTACTACTACTACGACGACGACTACTTCTACTACTATGACTACTACTACTATGACGACGACTACTACTACTACTACTACGACTACTACTACTACTACTACCACCACTACTACTACTACTACTACCACTACTACTACTACCACGGCTACTACTACTACGACGACTACTACTACTACTACTGCTACTACTACTACTACTGCTACTACTATTACTATTACTATTACTTCTACTACTACGACTGCTACTACTACTGCTACTACTACTACTAATACTACTACTACTACTACTACTACCACTACCACTACCACTACCACTAACACTACCACTACCACTACCACTACCACTACCACTACCACTACCACTACCACTACCACTACCACTACCACTACTACTACTACTACTACTACTACTACTACGCCCAGGCCCGTTACACTTTACATTCAATTGAGAAGATCAACAAGGGTATTAGGGAATATTAAACTCCCACCCCTGTTAAACTTTACATTGAATTGGGAAGATCAACAAGGGTATTAGGGAATATTAAACTCCCACCCGTGTTAAACTTTGCATTCAATTGGGAAGATCAACAAGGGTATTAGGGAATATTAAACTCCCACCCCGGTTAAACTTTACATTCAATTGCGAAGATCAACAAGCGGATTCATGACTTCGTGGAAATTGCGTTGAAGAGTTTGCCGATTTCTAACGTTAGATGTATAAGGTAGGCATTTTGGACAAGAATCGGTTGGAAATAAACTTTTGGAGTTTGAAAAGCTCACCCAAGCAGCTGGAATGTTTGTGTGCTTGTTGTTGGTGAATCGTTATTCTTGTAGGTATACCGTGTTGTCAGCACGCGGACTCGTTGGACGGGCCTCCAGGGAGTCGACTGAGCTAGTTGTTGACGCTGTGGAGGCGCTTCCGCCACGACTACATAAAGTATCGTTTTTTTGTTCTGTACAATGACGTTCCGAACTCCGAATACGTGGACCCGGTGGAGGGGCCTCCAAAGGGTCAACCAAGTGAGGGGTTGACTCTGTGGAGGCTCTCCCACCGGATCCACAGAAACTATTGTTTTTGGTTAGTTGTTGCCTTTGTGATTTCTAGCAAGTTTACATAAAGTCCAACCGGGTCCACAGAAACTAATGTTTTTGGTTAGTTGTTGACCTTGTGATTTCTACCAAGTATACATAAAATATCGTTTTTTGTTCTGTACAAGTACGTTCCGAACTCCGAATAGGTGGGCCCGGTGGAGGGGCCTCCAGAGGGTCAACCAAGTGAGGGGTTGACTCTGTGGAGGCTCTCCCACCGGGTCCACAGAAACTATTGTTTTTGGTTAGTTGTTGACTTTGTGATTTCTAGCAAGTTTACATAAAGTCCAACCGGGTCCACAGAAACTAATGTTTTTGGTTCGTTGTTGACCTTGTGATTTCTACTAAGTATGCATAAAGTATTGTTTTTTGTTCTGTACAAGTACGTTCCGAACTCCGAATACGTGGACCCGGTGGAGGGGCCTCCAGAGGGTCAACCAAGTTAGGGGTTGACTCTGTGGAGGTTCTCCCACTAACAAGGGTATTAGGGAATATTAAACTCCCACCCCGGTTAAACTTTACATTGGAATATTAAACTCCCACCCCCGTTAAACTTTGCATTCAATTGGGAAGATCAACAAATGTATTAGGGTATATTAAACTCCCACCCCCGTTAAACTTTACATTCAATTGCGAAGATCAACAAAGGTATTAGGGAATATTAAACTCCCATCCCCGTTAAACTTTGCATTCAATTGGGAAGATCAACAAGGGTATTAGGGAATAGTAAACTCCCACCCCCGTTAAACTTTACAGTCAATTGGGATGTTGATGATGTTGATGATGTTGATGTTGTTGCTGATGATGCTGATGATGATGATGATGTTGATGAAATGAGGGAAAAATTCGTCATCCGTTTGCCCAAACAAACGACACGGGGAATCTCACAAAACATTGGCCCTGCGCAGTCAAAACACACTTTCCCGGGCAGCACATCCGTCCTGGCCGTAGTACTACTACTACTACTACTACTTCTACTACTACTACTACTACTACGACTACTACTACTACGACGACGACGACTACGACTACTACTACTATCATTCGTATGGCACCTATCTCACTAGAATTTACCAAAGAACAGAAAACATCATTTTTCGGGGTTGCGCTTCATCTCGCCTCGATGAAGCACAACCAAGTGCTTGGGAGCACAACCAAAGTCATTTATCGCACAAACATGAGCTTGGTTGCGCCCCCAAACGCTAGGTTGCGCTTCATCTCGCCTCGATGAAGCACAACCTTGGAAAAAGATATGTTTTTATCTTCTTTGGTAAATTTATGTCATCCAGACCGTAGCATATTCTAACTTCGCGAAAAACGCGAAAAAAGTATCAACGTCGGAAAAGCGAAAAAGCAAAGCAGCAAAATCTAAAAAACACAAAAGCAGAATAAAAGGAGAAAAAAGAAAGGAAAAACACGGAGAGGCTCAAAGGGCAAAATGAAACAAGAGTTACATTTTTTGTTTTTTCACGCTTTCTTTCAAGTTTTTCGACAGGCAAAATAATCTATGGTCTGGAAGACATAAATTTACCAAAGAAGATAAAAAAATATCATTTTCCAAGGTTGTGCTTCATCGAGGGGAGATGAAGCGCAACCCAGCGTTTGGGGGGCGCAACCAAGCTCATTTTTGTGCGATAAATGACTTTGGTTGTGCTCCCAAGCACTTGGTTGTGCTTCATCGAGGCGAGATGAAGCGCAACCCCGAAAAAATGATGTTTTATGTTCTTTGGTAAATTCTAATGAGATAGGTGCCATGCGAATGATATGAATAGGGGTCAGCATGATGTTAACGTTTATGTTCATCGTGGCACACCCAGTGGCGAAATGCTTTGATCCAAACATAGCCGACGGCGACATGATGACATGATACACTCCACTACACCACACTACATTTCACTACTCTACATTGCACTGAATGACACTGCACCACAAATAGACAGGTAGACAGGTAGACAGATAGACAGACAGATAGACAGATAGACAGATAGACAGATAGACAGATAGACAGATAGACAGATAGACAGACAGATAGATAGATAGATAGACAGACAGATAGCCAGGTAGACAGATAGATAGATGAAAGAGAGAGAGAGAGAGATAGATAGATAGATAGACAGACAGATAGATAGATAAATAGATAGATAGAGAGAGTTTTGAGCGATAGATGGGTGGAGAGATAGAGAGATAGATAGATAGAAAGATAGATAGATAGATAGGTAGATAGATAGACAGACAGATAGATAGATAGATAGATGGCTAGATAGATTGATAGATAGATAGATAGATAGGTAGATAGATAGGTAGATAGAAAGACAGATAGACAGATAGACAGGTAGACAGATAGACAGATGAAAGAGAGAGAGAGAGAGATAGATAGATAGAGAGATAGATAGATGGCTAGACAGATAGATAGATCGATGGATAGATAGATAGATCGATCGATAGAAGGATAGATAGATCGATAGATAGATAGATATATAGATAGAGAGATAGATAGATAGGTAGATAAATGGATATATATGTAAAGATAGACAGATCGATAGATCGATGGATAGATAGATAGATAGATAGAAGGATAGATAGGTAGGTAGGTAGGTAGATAGATAGATAGATAGATAGATAGATAGATCAATATATAGATAGATAGATAAATAGATAGATAGATATATATATAGATAGATAGA